TGCTACTAACTCACCAGATAAACTTTGGCAAGCAACCCTTTTTAATCTCTGTAGACTTTTCTGCCATCTTAGTTCCAGGAAGCTATAAAATTTTGTTATGTTTAATGTTCTTAAGAGAATAGCATAAACTTGGTAGTAAGGCTAGAGGAACTTAAGACATGAGAAGTCACAGCCAATTAAAAGTCATCCATAAGTTCAAATATCATAGTTGAAACTTAAATTAGGTGAATTGGAAAATATGATTTCATTTGTAATTGTCGGTGGATTCATGGCACCTTTCAGGAATAGACTGCATAATTTTAAAATTTTTTTACAAAGTGAAATAATAATATATATGTTAGAGTAACAACAGACTTGGCTGTATGTCCAATATAAACAAAGTAGACTATGTTTGAATAAAATTGTTAACAAAGTCACACATGGAAAACCTTTCTGTGGATATTTTTCTTTATCTGGGAATGCTGAAAATTAGTTATGCCACTGAACATAGAAAATCAACACTAAGTCCCAAATCTCTGCTTATACTGGCTTTTGAATACTTCAAACTGCCTAAGGTACAGTCAGCCAGTCCTGAAATGCATACTTAAATACGATTCATTGGCTTCCTGTCTGTCTGGAGATGTCAACAGACTGTAAATCATAAAATTCCCTTTGGGTTAGGGGCTTGCACCTGCAAGCCAACTTAGTCATCAAATAGATCGTTTTACTGTTCTCCAAAAGGCTGCTTCATTCTGGTTTCCATGAACTCCATACCACGCCACATTTTTATTTTGTCTATGAGGTTTTAATACATTTATACTATTTTTCACTCCTTTCCAACTACAAAATTTCAAAGTTTTAGAATTGGGTAGCTGTTGTTCTCAAACTAATTAAGCGTCACATTAAAGAGATAAAGAAGCTTGAATCCACTAAAATAAAATCCTCATACCTTTATACCCCAGTGATGTGAAAGTAGGGTGAATACTCAAAGGGCAACACATTTTTGTCTCATTTTTTTTTAAAGTGCTAGGGAACAGGTCTTATGTTAATGACTTTATGATGAGGTTTTAGGAATGGATTTCTCATTTTTCTGGCATTTGACACAATTTTTGAGCTCTAGATAAAATAACTAAGTCCACAAACTAAGGCCTGAACTAGAACATTTACTCAAACTATTTAGTAGTCTAGAGTTTTCAAACAGAAGACATCTGGATCCTATTTTACTAGGGTTAGAGGGACAAATTTTACAGCCTAATGGGAGAAACTGCCCTTTTTAAGACATATAACAGACAGTTTATAGATTCTTGCAAGATAATTTTTTCCTCATTTGTCTTCTGTTTTAAAACAATTTAAAGATAGATTTAGATTTGGAAGGAAATTTCAACTATGTGAAAGCATATGATGGTCTTAGCAGTTAGTTCAAGTGCTTTAAATAGGATGGGTCAGTTAATCGTCTTTGTATAAGAATACTTTTTCCTTTTAAGTAACATTTCCTTTCATAAGGCCATGAATTAAAATGAGAGATTAAAGAAAATGTTCAGAAAGTATATTTCTTTTAAATGGTCATAAATTTTGCTCCAAATCAAGAAGGTACTCAAAAATAAAAATCATATAAAACTCCACTATAATACTGATTATTATGACTCTAAACAAAAATATCAGAATGTTTTTACTTCGTTTTTAAAGATCATTCTTAATTCTACAGTCCCAAAATGTTGAATTTATACTAACTTTGTTTTCAGCAATGCATATCAAAGCACTGTCATTAAAGATATCTTTGAGGTTTTATTAACTTGCTTCTGCACAGAGTTTTACTTTTCACAATTCAAACACATATATTCAGAAACTGATATTTTATGAAATATTAGCAGGGGGATTTCCCTCTACAGTGATGATAGCTGTATTTAGCTGAAAATAAAAGGAAGTTTTACCCATGAGAACAAAAAAAAGTGGTCTCATTCTGCCATCTCAGAACTCAGAGAAGCCCACAGCTTGCAAAGGAGCTTTACTAAGTGTCCCCAGATTGGAAAACATGGCAGAGAATCAGAAACTCACTGGGAATCTTTTCCAAGGTGATGTTTGTGGTTTTAAAATTATGTTTATATAATCTGGAAAAGTGTTTAGAATCAAATATAATAATGCGTTGTCTATCAATGATGAAAACCACAAAACTTACAAGATTATATTGGTGAATTCATTAAGGTCAAAATTCATCTGCTTTCTGGGCAAATTACTTTTGTGATTATTGACAGCTCTCCCAAAAATCACTTCTAGTTCTGCCTAAAAGTGTTTTAAGTCATTAATGTGTATAATCCTCTCTGGGTTTGAGAGGAGCACAAATTTAAGCTAGATATATGTTTAATGTATGTAAGGCAAAATTTAGGAGTAAAGTTAGATTAGAAGAAATTTCTTTTTTTTTTTTCTTTAACTAATTATGCTTCAACACAAGGGTAAAACGGTAAGATCTAAATTTATTGGGTTGATGTTTGTAAGACACATTTGAATTTGCTTCAAGCTAAAAAACTTTAAATGCATGTAGAAAGAGATTTAGACATTCTTACTTAAATGCTCAATTTATCCTACTGGTATTTAACTATTTAATATCATGTCACACACTAAAACAATAGTAGCATCATGAATAATTTTTTTTTTTTTGGTTTTTTGCTCAAAGTACACAACAGTTCACACCATCCAAGTGAGTAAGGAAGATAAAAGGCCAAATTTACAAATCAAATATTTTAATGTAAGGGTTATCTTAATTCTTATGGAACTTCTTTTGTAAAATCCATAATTTATTTTTGGTAATGTGAATAATCAATGTTTTTATCAGAGTGCGTGGTAATGAAGCATGGTCAGAAATGGAACAACCCAAAATCAAAATTTAAAAATATTTGGGTGGGAGGAACTCTTCGTTTGATGTATCACCTTGAAAATGACAAGGCCATTATAATTCACTTTCATTAACCAAGACTTTAATTTGTTTTACCTCCTGTAACAAGCAGCAATTTATGCCAGACTCCGAGCCGGAGGAGACATGATTCTTAAAGGCATTTTATAATTGGGCAGCTTGTCTTCTTCTTTGATAACTTGGCTATACTTAAAATGTTTATTCAACAGGCTCCCTAATCAGAGACTCATGTAATACAATGTTTAATAACAATATATAAAATAAAATCTAGAAAACAAGCAAATACTGTAAATTAAATGGCAGGTAAAATTTAAAATCCCACCTAATTCTAGAGATAGTATAATACCCTCTGTTTACATCTGTATCACAACTTTCAGAAGCAATATGCTTTTCGGATGCAATATTTAGAATATTTAAGTAACAAAATTATATCTGGCATTTTAGAGTATTCCAACATGATAATCAACTAAAAAAGCTTTTTGTCTATTCTCTAAGTAGGAACTCTAGACAATTCATATTTATTTTACTTGAACATGGCCTTGGCAGCAGTTCATTTACTGAAATTTTACTTTGTGTGATTTTCTACCCGTTGTATTTTTAACTTCCCCTTTCTTAAGGGATAGATGCTGAGTCCCTGGCATTCATTTGACTCAAGGCCATTTGTCCTCCAGGCCAGAAGCCCCAAGGTTGGTGGGGGAGTAGGTAAATCAAGGTCCTACAAGCAAGATGTAAATCTTCATCCTGCTCCTTCACAGAACCCAAGGATGTATGTGGCAGCAATAAAAGAGAATAAATTCCTAAGAAACAGCCAGATGCCACAAGTTTGAACTATGCCTGAGTAGTAGAAATCTGAGAGCACAGAAGACTAGAGAATTATCCCCCAGAGGCCTTCCCACAATTAACTGGGAAGAGTGTAGGGAAATAGAAGAATGTCTCAAATGGGGTTTTTTACCCCATGTTGAGGTAAGACAAAAAAATATTAAATTTGAATTGAAAAACATTAAAGCAATCTTTTGCACACTCAATTATTGTGACAAAATGAAATTTGTACCTGATATACAATTCATTAAGATTATATTGATATGATGACCTAAATAAGTTGTGGTTATATATTCTAATTACTGGATCAAAAAAAGGTTTATTAATTGGCAGCAAGTTTTCTAGCTATGTTGTAAATTGCTGATGTGTTCTCCTATTTTTTCTTGATTTTATCAATAAATTCTTTGAGAATACTCATTCAGTGTTAGTTCTCTCTTCCTCTTACTTGATAGCAACCCTAAAAGTATACCCAGACGTAAATAAGAAACTGTTTTCTAATTAATCCTGAATTTTAAATTTGCATCAACACCTCTTCAAACATTTGCATCTTCATTTCTTGTTCTTTGGGATTCATAGACTGGCCAGAAGCCCTATCTGGTGGTATGCAAGATAATAAATGGGAAAACATGAAATCAAAGCAAGTTGGTTTAGCTGAGAGTTCCTTCCTCTGCTTATTTAGCTATTATTTCTGCAATTAATTCTTGTTTTTCCTTCCTACAGAAAAAACAAACATAGGTTTAAAGATGCTTCTACATAAGAATAACATTCTATGTCTTTTTCTAATAAAAATATGGAGAATAATTTAAAAATTATCATCCCAGTCTGAAATGGAAATGAAAAGAGTGAAGTGTTGAATGAGGGAAATGAAGAAAAGGAATAAAAAAGGAGGTAAAAACTATTAAAAAGTAAACAAGAAGCAAGGAGGTAAAGAAGGAGGAAGATAGATAGAATATGGGAATAGACTTTCCGCTGAGGAGAACCGTCATATAAAACCGCTTCTACAATGTCCTCCCTAACCCCAGGGAAGTTTTGAAGGGAAAATGTATTTTACTAAAAAACACTAGCAAATGTTTAGACATAGTGGCTTTGACAACAAGATCTTGATGTTAAGAATATTGGTGGCACATTTTTAGTTTGGTCAACTGCTGCCCTCAAGATGTTCAAATTATCATTCGTGAATGAGTAGCGTCTCACAACCAGGTTAAACCTTAGCAATGAAAAGCCAGCAAGCTTCTTTGTTGCTTGGATGCTGAGATGGTCTATGTCTTGACATAGTGGCAGTGGTTTGACCTACCTGGCTGCAATCCGGCCAAGCTCTAGCAAACAGAGACACACTTCTCTGGGTTGCTTGTGGAGGACTGAAAGACAAGACAGAGGTGAACACCTTTACAATAGAAGGAATACGCAGCTCAACAGTGTAGGCTTGCCAGTGACCCTCATCCCTCATGGTGCCAGGAAAGAGCTACACTTCATTCTGACGGTCATAAAACCCATATAATTCCACAATCCACCTAGCTCTACTAAAGGCTTAAATTACTTCTCAAAACTCTGCCTATGCTTCCTCTTGAAAGCTATTAGCCTCAGGAACTCTCACCCTGAATAAATCTCACCCTAAAAATATTTTCTTCGATTAATTAATATTGGTAAGTCAATATTGGATGCCTATGTAGCTATATTCATGATACCTGTCAATAATTGATATTTCCAAACACACAACTATGGAGCAGGGACTAGCCATTTTAATATCATGGGTCTACCTCCAACAGTGATTTTAGCAAGAAAAAAAATGAAATAAGGATAAACATCTTACACTACACTCCTTTGTTGTCCTCCAAAGAAAAATGTCAAAGGGAGACCCTGTTACTTCATGTGCTCTTCTAATCAAATCTGATTAAATAATACTTTAGAAAGAAACAACTTCAACTGACTGAATTTTGTACATATATACCAATGCACCAACAGCCAGTTTTGCCCATCAGAGAAGCAAATTAGAAGGCTATATTTGAATTTATATTTCTATTATAATATAATCTGATAGAAAGTCAGTAATGTTGACGAATCACACTTGCTTTTGTCGAGCCTACAGGAAGAGCATTTAGAAGAGCATACTATTCTCTTTTTTAAGCCAAATTAGGGGATTTTTACAATGTTCTTATATTCAGCACTGAATAAAGATGAGAGACTGGAAAAAATTTGCACTGAGAACAGATTTTCCACTGATACACAGTATTCTAAAAAAGGAAAACATTGACTGTTAATTGACTTTAAGAAAAAGAGCAATATGCTTTTATTCTTAAACACAGAATTATATAATAATTTAACTTTCCAGTATTAATCTATTCACTTAACTGAAATATTCTAATTCATTCTCTTCATAGCTTATGATAGTGGCAATATTTGATTCACTAACACCACAATGGAATTTCCTGGGCATGTGTGGTAAATAGAAAAAACACTTTTACCTGATTGTAAAAGTATGTGATTTCATTTGGTTTTAAGGAGACATATAAATGTATTATTATTTGGTTATAAAAATGGCACGTTAAAGCTTTTAAAATAAATTTGAATCCTATCATAATTGTAATCCCACCATTAAATTTTAAATCCTGTAACTGATTATGGAAAATCTGAATTGCAGGATATTTCTATTACTGATAACACAAATTTTAGATTCAGATGACCATTAGTGAATTATCACAAAGTCCTAGTTAGGGAAATCTTGAATTACTTTTAATTAAAATGGCTTAAAATAATGATATTTACTACCTCCAGTTTCAAATATACTACAAGTTGACTGTAACTAGAATGATATTAACTTCATAAAGTTTAGTATATTAAATCAGTTCCAGCACAAGGTAACATAAGGGCTGTAACATCACACAGGCATCAGTTTCATACAGAGAACAATAACAAATATCACAAAACAGAAATAAACAAATGAAAATGGATCTTCCTGTCTAGATCATCAACTTTTTTCTGATTCAGACTTTTTTTTAACATGTCCATGGTATAAAATCACAATTGGGAGTTCTGAGTGGGAGAAAGCAATATGTAAAAACTGAGGAGAGGAGGACTTTTAAAGCCTTGCTCATGCCCTCATCCTTAGTAAATGCTATGTGAAGCAGTGGCTATAGCATCAAGAGCTTTGGATACAATGCCATGCATTTCTTGATGACGAGTGTCAAAATGTAAAAACTATTAGTTAACTGACTAAATTGTGTCAATGTGCAGCCAATAACCAACTATAAAAGGTAATACTTGATACAATTATAATGGTTATTTAACCAACTTATTGTACATATTCTGAAGACTATATAAGCATTAATATGTAAATAGGTATACTTTATGGAAAATCAAATTCATTCTGAAGAAAAATAATAATGTAAATGCTATAAGAAAGACAATTTGACATGCAGGATGCCTCAATATTGTGTATTTCCTTGCTTCTTCATTTGTCAATTTAAAACAGTTTTGCATGCCAAAACTCAATATCAAATCTATCATAGACTCATTAGAAAATCAATTTGGCAAACTGAGAAGAAACTGCATGATTCCTTATTTTGTTTCCTTAACAGAATCAGCCTATTAAAATTTAAGACAGATAAACCTCTTCCCCAGCATCACTTCTTAGGAAAATGCTAACAAAAAAACAGTGTTTTATTTTCACTTTTTTTTTGGTAAATATTGCCTTTTTATAAAGCAATAAATCTGCTTTAAAGCATACCTGTAATATTACCTCACGTTAATAGCTTTTCAAATAACAAACATACCAAGCCTGGCCCCTAATGGACAAAAAAAAAAAAAAGAAGAAGAAGAAGAATGATTGGTGACTGGTAAGCAATGACTAAGATAAATCTGTAGAGCTGCGCTTAGAATATAGAAATGCCTTAGTAACTACGTTCTATGTAATACAAGGAAGATGACGGTTATGTGGTGGTGATAGGGGTTGTGATGATTGACAAAGTGAATAAAGGCTAAAGTTTTACCTACCATCTTCAGGAAAGACAAGAATTTAAATCATGTAAATGTTTAATTGCAAAAGCAAGCACTCTTATCTTATTGCTATAACATTTAAATTCAAATGTCTGTATGTAATATCCATATAGTACTAAAGAGGTAACTTTGGTTGTGGCACTTAAGCAAGTTATAAACTAAAGTTAATAGAGGAAAAGAGTATAATGGTTGTGTAACTCATGCCTCAAAGATCTGGGTGTGGGTGTGAGCACTAATATTTGCTGGTCATGTTATTTTGGGAGGTCACTCTACAAAATCTCATTTTTCTGCAGGAAATAAATAGTGCCCACCTCATAATATTTTTGTGATGATTAAACAAAATAATATTTACTGTTATGCTTAGCACAGTACCTGGCACATAGGAAACACCTGCCAAATGTTAGTTTCATTATTTTTTTCTTTTCATTATTTATTTTATTTGGTTTAGTCAATTAACCTTAATTCACTTTTTTCCCTGTAAGCACTTTTTGTGCATCATAATATGTCAGTTATTAGACAGTGAAAGAAACTCTGGAATGAAGATAAGATTACTGTCAGGAGATACAGAGTGGTTCTATTAAAATGGCTACATTTTAAATTTTTACCTTTTAGATTATATCAGATATAGTTAATTCTAAATGTAATCAAATTTCAGGTTAAATGAGTCAATTTGGTCAGCATATATAGATATAAAGCAGATATCCTTCACCAGTTACAAGCTTATGCTAAATATAAAGTTCAAGTAACAACTGCATTAGGACCTATGTCATTTTTTGAAACACCAAATATCTTGGCTTTAATTTTCCTTTGTGATTAAAATACCTTGATAGAGTTCATTTTTAATAATTAACTATGCTGATTATATGTGGTATATTTTAGAAGATCAAATAACTGAATATATACCTTTGTCAAGATGATTTGACAGGCAGCTTTCATTGTACTGTGGTTGTAGCAAAGCCCTTGCATCCAGTCATGTGTACTACTCATTTTAAGCACATTTAGTCATTTACCTTTTTCAAAATAACATCTACTTACATTAAAATTATACAAGGAGAATTTTTTACCACTTTATCATTGTAACATTAACAAGGTCTTTTGCTTTGAGTTAGGGGTATAAGAAAGGATTGCTGTAGCTTTCCTCTGAACAAATCCTCTTCAAAACAAATGAAGAGTTTTCTAGTCAATGGTGATTATTACACAAATGGTTTTATCATTGATGGCTTCTTTTTAAATAATCAAAGCCATTTCAAGAAAAGCATAATGTAAAACATCTCTGGGAAAAGTAACACAGGTTTCCATTCAAAAATATGTGGCAAGAGACTCAATCCCATAACCCAGATTCTATAAAAAATCTCATGGGCATCAAATGTCAAATGGAACACTGCTAGCTCCAGGAATAGAGAATGAGGCCTTCCATTAAAGAAAGAGGGTAGAATTTCAATGTTACAGAATCTGCAAGGATAAAATGCATTAGACCATGAATGTGTAGTTTAGCTAAACATATTAAGTTTTAACAGATGGGCAAAAGAATGAAAGCATGAAAAATTATGTAGCCCATTTGGTTTCTATATAACTAGAGGCTATAACATGAATCATCATGTTGAAGAAAATTGCATTTTAGCCCTTTATTTAGTAAGGAAACTTGAAAAAAGTATTTTTGAGTAAATGTTGTTCAATTATAAAAATATCATAGATTAACGGCTGCCTACTTTCCCAGAGTAGAGAACTGGTTCTAGTAAGGCAAGAAGAGTGATAGAGTAGAAGAAACAGTGAGCTAGAATTCAGAAGAATTGGGTTCTGCCTAACGCTGCCTAATTTCTTCAACTCTAAAACAAGTGTCGTGTCTTCACTTGCTCCTCTTTATCAGGTAACTATATGGTTAAGAACACTTAGTACCTGGTAAACACTCAATAAATGTTACTCTCTTGCACTAAAGTGTGGTCCACAGACCAGCAGCATTGGCATGGCATGGGAGCTTGTTAAATTTTCCAGGTGATGAGTATATACACTAAAGTCTGAGTACTATATTAATGTTATAATAATAATAAACATTGGTATAATCCTATATCTGTTTTGCTGAAAATATTAAAGTGAGCTTTGATATATGTAACATGCTTTAAAAATGTGAAGGATAACAATGGTAGTGGTGATGATGATGATGATCAATAGAGTAGAAATAATGTGTATGTTGGATAGGCCCTTAATAAATATTATAGGCCTTTCTCTCCTGCCACGTTCTATAAGATACATAAAAAATTTCATGCTTCCCAAACATGAAACTGCTCTCTGTGTCGTGTCATTCTGAGTAAGACCCACACAAAAATCTGTGAGTTTAAATGTAGGTGTCAAATAGGGATGGTAATTA